CCAATGGTTTTATTGCAAGTTCATACAAAGGAAAATTCCCACCGTGTTCCATGGGGCTCCTTCCTGGATAAACAATATACACCGGATCGCATCCTTAGAAACTCTCATCGCAAACACGAGAGGGAAAAAAATCATCTTTTCTCCATCTCAGATCTCCTGCGTTGCCTTGAAAGAGGTTCGCATCCGTTTCCTCCTGATCCGTTCCTTCGCAGATGGGCCGACAATCTGGACGGTCTGGACGAGGGCCTAGTTCTGCTTTCCAGAAAGCCAGTTTCGTTATGTCCCGTCTACTCTTCCCTGCCTCAAACAGCCTGGTATTTCACAGACTTCGAGGTGAGCCCCAAAGGCTTGGCAGCCCAAACAGCGCCACCCACTCGGCAGTAAAGATGGGAGCCCGGTGGCTAATGGGTGGCTTATCGTGGCACAAAGCCGTGGGTGGCGAGGACGACAGCCGGGTTTCATTGGCTGGGTTTCTTTGCCACGGGATGCTGGCCGGCTGTTGTGCAGTGAGGATGAGAAATAAAAGGGGACCTTTTAAAAAAAGAGAACATACTGTTGGAGATTTTACAACCTCGCATGCTGTGCCTATGATTTAAGTTGGTGACTTTTCTGGGCTGACTGTCAATCAACTCAGCACGCACCAATCATTCCCTCCCACCTCTGAATCCAATGAGAGGCCCGCCCTTCTCCTGAGTGTTCCTTTCCTTCTTTTTCGTCTGCTGAAGTCTGTTCGTTTGCTGTTGATCTGTTCACGGCTGTAAGTAAATAAATGTCTTCATTCCTTCTCCTACAAGTGTCTTGCAGTGAGTTACTGAGACTTTAAGTGAACGAGAAAGGGGTGGACTATCTGGGGAACTTGAAGATATTCTTCCATGTGAGTCTCTGTACCTCTACTGGGTAGCAAAGAGATTTTAACCAGAAATTCAAAATTCAACAAGAGGTAATGAGCCCAAACATGCTTCCACTGCAGAGCAAAGAGATTTTAACCAGAAACTCAAAACACCACAATGCATACAATGCTACACTACAACATTTTGTTGCAGATCTCTTGTGTGTGTTTTTATTTGAAAACAGTGCTCAGCTGAGTGTATTGTTCATGACCATCTGCTTTTCCATTTTCACTCTGCACTGATTTGGGTGTGATGTTAACGATCAGTCTGAACCACTACACAGCAGTTTTGCTAAATACCTGGTCCCTGCTTCGCGAACCGGTTTTCGCTAGATGACAATTTGCTTTTCGCTAGACAATGATTTCGCTAGACAGCGATTTCAGTGGAACGGATTATCATCGTCTAGCGAGGCACCACTTGTATTTGTAACTCAATGGTGAGCGGCAAGTTCACTTCCTTCCCCCCAAAATGTTCCTTTAGGGGGAAAAAATATCTCTCCACTCTGTTCCTTGGAGCTTAGATCACAGGGTGGAAACCGGAGTCTGGAGGCTTCCACTTCAACCAATTTTCAGGAATATTGGAAAAGGCAGTTCCATTGCTGTAAAGCTTGGGCGAAGCAATTTCATGCTATAAAAGAATATGATTCAGCCTAACGTATTGAGTGTTTTGTACACGAAAGCTCTCTAGAAAAAAGGATGGATCTGTTTACAAGCCAATCCCAACCCTGAGATCCATTATATTACAACTTTCATTTCTCCTAGTTTTTATTTTTATTTTTCTGGTCTAAATGTGGTTGTTCTTTCTGACATCAATTCCACGGAAAAGCAGAAAAAGCCTGCACACTTATTGGCATGAGATCATTGTCCGGCACCCTTTTTCTAATTTAAATTTAACGGAGGGTTGTGCTTTGCTGCTTCGAATGTGTTTATGATGTTGTTGTTGCTTACTTTTTTTTTTTAAGTATAGTCTTCGACACTTTCTAGTATTTGCATACTTCCTGTTGCTAGTTTTAATTATTGCCTTTTAATGAAGTAAGCCACCTTGGGTCCTTGTTAAGGAGAACGGCGGGGTGAAATAAAATATTTTAAATAAATAAATATAATATACACGTCGTCCTCTGGAGCTTTGCCAAAATACATGGAAGAGGAGCAAACAGCTGGAGCCCACATCTGTCTGTTCTGCAACGTTTCCAGGAAAACGTATTCTTTCATTTTTAAAATACGCTTCTCTCCGATAACGTTTTTTTTCGGGTTTGTGTTTCTGGCAGCTATTTCCCCCCCCCCAAAAAAAGATGTGCTACGCCACGGGAGAACTGGTGATCCAGTTTGTGGATCAGTGTGGGAGCTTTGAAAAGATCTAAGACACGGGTAAACAAAATATACCTGTCTTCTGATACCTCGTCATAAGGAATACGCCTCGTGGAATTGACTGGGCTTGTTTCTGTGTTGTGGATAGTGCCAGGGGGTGAATTCAATGGAGAGAAGACAGTCAGCAGAAAGAAAAAAATAAGTGAGAGTCTTGGGGGGCAATGAGGCCGGATCTAGCTGTCTCCTCCATCCTACAGCCCCCACCTTCCCGTTTCCACCTGTCTGCTTTGTTATTCGCACTGGCAGGATGTTGTCTTTGGAGCTGTCAATGCACAGCTCTCTGGGCATCCGAGCGCTTGCTCTGCAGCTGGTTTGGGGCGGTGGCGTGGGTCTCTTTGAGAAGATCCTCTGACAGGCACCCCGCAGAAGAGAGCCAGCCAAGGGCTGGAGTGTCACTTTGGAGCAAAGCAGGAGGCTTGTGAAAGATAGAGGCATGAGTCACTGGCCACAGGGCAGCCTTGAGTGGCTTCCGGACATGTGAAACACCAGGGTTAACATCCAACAGAGAATCACAGAATAATGGAGTTGGAAGGGGCATGGACAGAAAGAGCTAAAATTAATTCAGTTCCTTCCTTCCTTCCTTCCTTCCTTCCTTCCTTCCTTCCTTCCATCCTTCCATCCTTCCATCCTTCCTTCTCCATCCATCCATCCATCCATCCATCCATCCATCCATCCATCCATCCATCCATCCATCCATCCATCCATCCATCCATCCATCCATTTATAAAACATGTTTCCAGTCCTCAGTGTGACCACTTAGTTGACTCAAGTTCAAACCAGGCTTCGAATTAGGAACGTCGGAAGCTGCCTCATACAGATACGAATCTGTGGCCCGTTTACCTCAATATTGCCAACTCTGGCTGGCAGCATCTTTCAAAGTTATCGTGTCCAATTCTGCCCTAGCCCTAGCTGGAGACTTCTTCTAGTCTCGCACTCAGGACAGGCCCTGCTTAGTGTTGGAAAATCAGACAAGAGGGTTGTTTGGAAAGCCTCTCCATTGGCTTGAGGGAGTTATGAGATGCCGTCAACGGTGGCTCTAATTTGCCTTTGAATTTTCCATTTTTTCAAGAAATATTAAAACACGGGGTGGCAGCATTTTTATTCTTTTTACACCCTGCCCGTCAGTTCGAAAAGAAATCTAGAAGGTGGTGGCCTTTAAAGGCGTCACAGTTATTCCAGGGACGAGGTGGATGATGGGGAGAAAAGGCACTGGATTTCTCGTCTGCCTTTGAAATATCGTTTTAATCACAGCCGGCTCCTTCTTTCACTGCCACACTTAATAAGACGCCAAGACAAATTACAGGGTAGGAAATAAAGAGCCGACATTACCCAGGCCATGGTGCTCTCTTGTGGATGGTAAATGGCAAACCCATTTATTTTTTTTTCCTGTTTTTGCCCTTTTAAAGAAATGCTTTTGTTCATTTCACCCGACGGCCGGATCCTGTTCGGTGGATTTTGCTCTGTGCATCTCTTTGGGCTACGAAAAAAACCCCATTACTATGGCGCCTTCTAGGTAAAAATTCTTTATTCAAGTGTGAGCTTTTGTGGATTAGAATCTACTTCTTCAGACCCATAAGGTGGGTTTGGAGAGGTATGGATGGGATTTTAGGATTTTTGGGGGACTACAAGTCCCATCATTCTCCATTCTGTGCGTTCCGCCCAAGATGCCTACAGACATTTAAATTGGCTTGAGGGGAAGAGTCTCTGCCCCGAGGAGGCTTTTTGGGGGAAGGAGGCATGGAAAGAGGGACATTTCCACACAGACACAGAAAGTAAATCAAACTCAAAGTATTGACGTTTTTAATTCTCCAATTTTATCAGGTAGGGGCAGATTCAGAGCCCCTTCCCAATAATTAGGTGTTGTTATACTAATATTAAAGATAGAGTTATGTTCTGCCGAAATCTATTTTTAATGTGTTTTTCTTCACCCCATTAAAATGCCGTTTTGTGCAAATGTGGTGGGGGTGTCACTGGTTACTTGGCGGCTATAAAAGGGGGTTGTAACTCAAAAAGGTCTGGGAAACAATGCACTAAAACCTAGACAGATCAGTCCTCAAAGGGTCTAATCAATATCTCTTGTCTTAGTGCCGAAATGCCGATGTTGGTGCCAATTGAACCTCCAAAAGGAAGGTGTTCCCCAGTCGGAGTGCCTTGGCCGAAAAAACCCTCCTTCAAATACCCAGATCCCAAGCCTTTTCCCTCTTGATACGTAATTCCATCAAAGCTCCACTCCTGAGCAGTGGGACTTGCGAATGAAGCCCAGGTTTCTCTCTCCTGATGGCCAATCACAAAACAAAAGCAGGCTAGTTTACAACATGCTGTGCTTCCTAAGGATGTGCTCGTTTGGGTCCTAGATTCTTGCGTTTCCACCAGTTCCCAAGACAAGATCATTTGGGATCAAGAGAATGGGGTCGACTCCCATCTCTCCACAATCCCGATCAAAATGTTCTAGACCTCATTGAGGCTTGAAATTCACTGGGGCTTTAAACCACTCACTCTCCTTCTCAACCTGCAGGGTTGCTGGGAGGAGAAAATGGGAGAACCTTGTACTCTATCTGGAGAAAAGATAGGGTATCAATAGAAATCTGTAGGCTCCCTGCAACATATTTTTCTTTTCCGAAAAGCTTTCCCCTGACTTGGAACAAACAATGCAAGTCTTAATTTTTAAAAAAAGAGGTCAATCAACAGCAGATTACAGACCATTTCACATCTATTTATTATGGAGATATATTCCGTTGGAGAAGTTAAAGGACTTGGCAAAGGCCGGGCAATAAAACCACTGTCGAACCAGTGGTTCAAAACGGCTTCGAGCACTGGAAAGTTTCTAAATCAAGACGAGCAGGGGGTCTGAGATTTTCAAGAAAGCATTACAGTTCACATAGTAAACTCTTCCCCAGTTCTCCTGCTGCTGCGCTTTCCGAGCGAAATCAATCGATCCACCAAACCAAAAAAAGCTGGATTTTTTTTCTTTTTTTCTTTTTATCTAGTCCGGGGCAATTCAGAAAAGTCCAAATCATCAGAAGATATTTGGATTGCAGTTACACCTCCACCAGGATGACGGGTTTGCGTGTTGCCAAAGCGTCTGCAGGGGTGGGGGGTGGGGAGGAGAGAACAAAGAGTTAATGAATGGGGATTGTTACCGTAAACCAGGGGTTCCCAATCTTGGGTCTCCAAGTGTTCATGGACTACAACTCCCAAAAGCCTTCACCCCTTGCTGTGCTGGCCAGGATTTCTGGGAATTGTAGTCACATCTGGGGACCCCCAACCATAAACCAAAGACAAGGGTGGGGTTGGGGATTCCTGGATCTTGTTAAATTCCAAGGGCCCTCATTCATGCTGGCTGAGGCGGATGGGAGCCGGAGTCCAACAAGACACTCACAGACTATCTTTCCCTGCCTTCGGTTTTAAAAAAGCCAAAGCTACCTTTTTCAAATGCAACAGGAACAACAATAAATCCATAACCTGTTGGGAGTTTTTACAGTCTCGCAGGCTGCCTGTAGGAGGCGTGGCCGGGGAGGGACCTTTATGGGCAGGGTAACTGTCAATCTCTCTAGCAGTAACCAATCATTCTTTCCTGCCTCTGAATTCAAAGAGAGCCCCGCCTCTCTGCTGGTTGATCTTTCCTTGTATTTCTTGGGTTGGAAGCCCATTGCTTTGTTTCCTGTTGATATGTTCAAAATTGTATTTTTGTAGGGTTTTTTTACTCTTTCTGCTACAAATGTCTTTGAGTAAAGTTACGGAGACCTTAAGTAAGAAAGGGGTGGGCCATCAGGGGAACTTGTAGCTATTCTACTGTACTTCCACTGCACAGCAAAAGGGAATTTAACCGAAAATTCAAAACTCTGCAACAGCAGCGACACAAGCTCAAAATAACGAAGAAGTCATTAATAAAGGCAGCCAGGATCGTTAAACTGGAAGTATTTAAGAAGAGGCGAACGTACCTCCATGCGTCCAGCTCCCAGTCGAATGCTTCCACGGTGCTCACGTGGACAACGCCATCGTAGCCGCCGACAGCTAAAAGGTAGCCATTGGCTACTGCAAGACTCACCTGCAAATTAAAAAAAAATAGAATTGTGTTGATCATTCACCCCCGACTTAAACAAATCTTCCCAAGCGGTAATTATTTTTAAGCATCTGAAGTTCCAGAGTTAACTTACTGGATTTACCGCTGTAGCTCTACTGGCTAAAGATTTCAGCCAATGAGCTGAAACATACTGAATCAGCAATACAAGCTCCAAAACAAAGTTTATTTTTTAACAAATGGCTGTCTGGATTGCTCTGTAGTTGAGGTCTCTGGCTGCAGAGCCAGTAGTTGGGAATTCGATCCCCCCACAGGGCCTTCCCGGGAAAAGACCCAGCCTGGGTGGCCTTGGGCCAGCTGGACAGTGGTCCCAGGGAACCCCAGAAAAAGGGAGGTAAAGGTTCCCCTTGACATTTAGTCCAGTCGTGTCCGACTCTGGGGCGCGGTGCTCATCCCCGTCTCCAAGCCATAGAGCCAGCGTTTTGTCCGTAGACAGTTTCCGTGGTCACGTGGCCGGCGCGACTAGACACGGAACGCCGTGACCTTCCCACCGAGGTGGTCCCTATTTATCTACTCATGTTTACATGCTTTCGAACGGCTAGATTGGCAGGAGCTGGGACAAGTGACGGGAGCTCCCTCCATCGCGTGGATTCGATCTTATGACTGCTGGTCTTCTGAACTTGAATGTTGGGTACCCATAGAAAACAACCCAGCCAGAAAAGGCGTTCATCTGGCCTGATTCTTGCTAAGTTCCCGCAGCACAGCTGAGAAGCAATACCTGACTCCTTTTCGACTTCATGGAAGGAACAGCAGACCATTCGTTGGTAAGAGGATCGAATCTCTCCACGCTGCTCAGCTCTGTGAGGTCATCCCGCCCTCCGACCGCATAGATCATTCCTCGAAAGCTAGCGCACCCCAGGTTCTCCCGACAACTCCGCAGGGGAGCGCAAGGGGTCCATCGGTCTTCCACGGGATCGTAACGCTCCACTGGGATAGAGGAGAGAATTTATCGGAAAGGTATGACCTCCGATCTAAAGCTTCACGCGTCCAACGTGGACGTGCGGAGCTCACAATATATATAACCCTTCCATATCTGGGCAGAAACAGATTAGACACCAGCTTCGCAATTAGACGCAAAGCTGCCTTAAGAGTTAAATGAGATTCACTTTTCCCTCCACAGCTGCACAAGGTGTAAAACCGCTTGCTTTTGTTTGTTTGTTGCGAAGATACGCCCCAGCTTCAATTACAAATCAATGGGGCAAAACATTGAAAGTTTAGGAAATACACCTTTAGCACTTCCTGTTTACAAAGCTGCTGTAAGCATGGGGGTGTTTCCGGAAAGATAAATAAATATCAAGCAACTGCATTTTGGGCAAGATACGGCAAATCCGTTTCACTTAATGTTAGTGGACCTTTTCGGTACCTGAATATAACGGCGACCGGCCGTCAGATCCGCCGACGGCGTAAAGGTAACCGTCCAGGACCGCTACACCAAGGCCCCTCCGGCGATGATTCATGGGTGCGACTTTACACCACTTGTTCACGAGAGGATCGTATCTGGAGGCAAGATGGCAGGTGAGAAAGGGCGTGCTACGTCTCAAATCATCAAAACGAGACGGGAAGAGAAATCGACTCCCCATTTTTGGGTTTGTGTTGTGTTGGGACCTTGGGGAGGTCTGTCATGCACCTGAGACCCTAAAAAAATGGGCTCGAGGGTCTCTCTTTCATGCCAGGAGCTGCACTCCCCCGGCCTTAAATCCTCACCATTCTTTGATTTCACATCTCCTGCTAAACGGGGGGAATTCAATTTGGAGATAACTGAATTTTCCCCATTTAAATCGAAGAGTCAACGCATCCAGCTTTGATTTCACATCTCCTGCTAAACGGGGGGAATTCAGTTTGGAGAGAACTGAATTTTCCCCGTTTAAATAGAAGAAGAGTCAACGCATCCGCCAGAGTGATGATGGGACATGTTGTTCTCCAGAGGGAGCTAGACTCCAAACCCCATCAGTCCTAGCCAGCCTAAGTGGCCGTGGAGGATGATGGGAGTTGTAATCCAACCACTGAAGGACCACAGACGAGAGCCATCTAGGAGTGCCGGAACAGACGCCTACCTCTCCACAGTGTTGATGCAGAGAAGTCCATCGTGGCCCCCCACGCAGTAGAGGTAGCCTCCCAGCTCAGCCACGGCGATGTCTTGTTTGGGCACGCTGAGCGAGGCCACATCCCTCTTCCATTCGTTGATTTCCGGGTCATACCTCCAGGGGTATAAAGTTAGGATAAGAAAACCTATCAGTTTCATTTTCCCCCTATGTTTGATTCTACACCACTTTCTACTGGAGTTTTGCAACCTTGCAGGCTGCTTTTAGTAGGCGTGGCCGGGAGGAACCTTTCTGGGCTGGGGCGACTGTCAATCAATCCAGCAGCACCCAATCATTCCTTCCTGATTCAAAGAGAGACCCGCCTCTTTGCTCTGCGCTCTTTCCCTCACCTGAGTCTCTTGAAAGCAGTGAGTCTGTTGAGGTCTTTTGCTGAAAGTCGGTCAGCTCTGTTGGTCACTGTCACGATTCCCATGTGGCCCCTGTTTGTTTCGCCAAACGAGGAGCTCACACTTACGTGTCTTTCAGCTGCCACCAATTACATCAACTTGGTTTAATATGAATAATAGAGGGCCAGGCCATGTGTCATTTTTAAAAGAACCATATAGAAATTGTTTATTGTTTCATAATTTAATTCTGATTTCTCTCTCTGCAGCCTGATGCACTATTATCCTCACTGAGCTATCCAGCCAGCTAGAAATCCTACTAGGGTTGCCATAATTTGGACGTACAGTATCATGAGAGTATACAATAACCACCCTACTTCAGAACGAGTGTGGTTGAAATCAAGAGGTATGTAATCCACACTTTTAAGCTACAGTTCCAGACAAATTTATTTGTCTAGCCTTTGCCATTACAAAAAAAAAATCGAGGAATATAAATTCATCAAATACTTTACTCAGCTAAAACCATCTAAAATCAACATTCTCATGGATCCAGTTCAATCACCAATAAAACCTGATCATCATCAGGACAAAACGTCCTCTTTAAAACCATTGCTTTAAATGCAAAGCAGGCTAGGTTTTCAGAAATATATGGTGCATTATCCCCCAGGAGGAAATTTATCAGATATATATCAGATCTGTCTTTGAACAGGATTTCTCTGAAGTCTTTATAAATTGGGAGGGCAAGTAAACAATGAGTTAGATCTTGAACTGTGTCAGTTCCACATGGACGGACTCTGTCCTCTGAGGATATATGTGTTGATAAGTGTTAGGCACTCAGGATTTCAGCTGGATGAGTGCGATTGTTCAGTTCCGCCCTCTCGCATGTGTGAATTTTGAAGCCCAGTTCCTTCCAGCTCATGTACGAAGGGATCTGTTGGGTTTGGTTCAAGTGTGATCAAGCAAGGATGATGGAGAAAGACCCGCCCATCTCGAATTGGGGGGAGAGAGAAGATGAATGAGCAGCCACACAAATAACCACACACATCTTGTGCGCCATACAAGGTCTTGCGGATCTTGTCCAGGTAGTCACGAGGCTGACCTCGGGGTCGTAAATCAGAGAAAATCCAGGGTTTGAGACTGTAAGTGCCAGTTAATGAGAACAGGGTGGTGGTGGTCGAATCTGGAGAACTTGGAACTCTTCAGCTCTGCCTGACTCCACTGGATGTGGGGCTCATTTTTCAACCAAGCCCTCTCGTTTGGAAAGGCAACACAGGGCAAGGGGTGGGCGCTTGAAATACAAGATGACAGCCCTGTGACAGATGCTCTGAGTCTCTCAATTAAGTATATATTTAGTGAAGGCATTTCAATCCTCTGGCAGCCCTCGTGGAATGAGAAAGAGATGCTGAGCTTGCCTTCAGGGGGAAAATACCGCAGTAACGGGCCTGTCAAAGCGATCAGCCTCATGGGAGATGGTAATAACGAGTCACAAGGGAGCTTTAGACGTACCAAGGCCGTAATTATGCAATCTATATGCAAGCGCCAGCGGAATGCCAGCCTTTGAGGCTAGGAAGGAAAAGCACACGAGACGGATGCCATCTATTACAGGGAGAAAGTTTGACCTCCAAATCACATCCACGGACAGAATGCTGGACGGTAAAGAAAGCTTACAGAGGGGAATTAATTCCATTTGAAATGTGGTGCTGGAGGAGAGCTTTGCAGATGCGATGGACTGCCAGGAAAGGCGGACAAGTGGGTTCTAGGTCAAATCAAGCCTGAACTCTCTCTGGAGTGTTGAAATGGAGGCTTTCGTACTTTGGGCACATCACAAGAAGGCAGGATTCTCTGGAAAAGGCTGGGAACAGTGGAAGGCAGCAGGAAAAGAGGAAGGCCAAATTATGAGATGGGTCGGCTCCCTAAAGGAAGCCCCAGGCTTGAGTTTAGAAGATTTGGTGGAAACTTGACACCACATAACAAGAAGAACAAGTGCATCATGATTCATAGAAATGAAGCCTCTCTCTCCAACATGTTTCCCCTCTCTGACTAGTTCAGAAGGAGGCCGGTGACTCGGATCACATGGGGGTGGTGAAATCCGGGTTTTACTCTGAACTTTACAGGTGCCGCCTGAGTTCCAGAACCTGACCCTCAAAATAAGGCGCAACACCCTGAGCAACGGGGTAGTGATGATGAAGTGTGTTACTCGGTTTGAATCAGCCTTCTAAGCTGTCAGGGTTGGAGGCTTTCCTTCCAAAAAAAAAAAAATGTTCTGTGGCCCTCGTGGGGTTGTTAAAAGGGAGACTGGGGGAATATCGTCACCTATTAACTGAGATCGGTTAGCTCCATGAGGACTAGAAATGTGACAGATCTACAAGGAAAATGGACAGCACAAAGGCAAAGAGGTTGATCCTAATAGGGTTACTCGCTGCAGCGATTTGACTCATTAAATTAAATTAAATTAAATATTCTGCTCCTCTTTTCTCTCTTACTTCTGTGTATGTCTTTTCCAAGTTTATCCAGATGACAAACTAGCAGGCTACATCTTGCCCAACCAGCTGCTGCATGCTGGGCGAAAGGGTTACGAACCCTGTTCGCCCAGTCTAAATTTAGATCAATCCACATCATTAAAAAAAGAAAGAAAGAAAAGATGATGATGAAAATACACCGAAGCAGCTGCCTCGTTAAGGCCACAACAATCCGGAGCACTTCTTAAAGTCAGAGATATTTCTGTCCCCGATTCTCGCTTCTGGAAATCCAAACCTGTTTCTCTCCCCGACGCCCTGGCCCAGGGTCATAAAGATGTTATAATAATCCTTCAACAACAACATTCGCTTCTTCTCAGATTTCCGACGGAGCAGCCAACAGAGAATCGTTGCGATCTGTCGGATACTAAGAACTCAGCACTTACTCAGTGCATTCAAACCTGGGGTATCCAAAGGGTGGGTTTTGTTGTTGTCGTTTGGCATCATGAAAATCTAGGACACCTCGTCTAGCGCGTCAACCTTCATTAACGCAGACATATTTACTGCGACCACCAGAAAAAAGCGAACAGACCTAGCTGCAGACTGTCGTCTTCATTGTTTCGCTGGATAGCCACGGCTGTCATGAAACACAGGCCAAAAATTACTCATTCACATGAAACTTAGCAGCTTCTGGATTAATAGGTGTATAGCGATGGAGTTTGGATGTAACCAGAAATTTGGTCCCCGGAGACCAAGACCATCCACACTCTTGAATTTCCAGCATTATGAATGGGTGTGAAATCTGGACAGTTAAGAGACAGCTGACAGGGGGAAAATAGATTCATTTGAAATGTGGTGCTGGAGGAGAGCTTTGAGGATGCGATGGACTGTCGGAAAGACAAACCAGTGGGTTCTGGATCTCATCAAGCCTGAAATATTTGTGGAGGAAAAAATGTCAACACTGAGGGTGTCCTACTTTGGGCGCATCATGAAAAGGCAGTATTATTTGGGGAAGAGAATAACGCTAGGAAAAGTGGAAGGCAGCAGGAGAAGAGGAAGACCCAATAACATGAGATGGTCTGACTCCCTCAAGGAAGCCACAAATCTGAGTTTGCAAAAACTGAACAGGGCTGTTGAGGACAGGACATTTTGGCATTCATAGAGCCGCCGCATGTTGGAGGCAACGCGATGGCCCATAACAACAGCAACAAAAAACTAATTTTGGCGCCCCATGGCCCAAGTCGCTGAAGTTCCACCTTAGTGCGCACAAGGGATTGACTCACCTCTCAACGCTGCTGAGGCACACCAGACCGTCATGCCCACCCACGGCGTAGATGGAGCCGTTCAGAGCGGCCACACCAGCTCCGCTCCGATGCCTGGAGACGGGACCCAAAATTCTCCATTCGTGTTCCAGCGGGTTGTAACACTCTATGCCACTCACGTTGCCGATGGGGCTCAAGCCTCCGACTGGAAAGCAAAAGAGAGGTCTGGTTTAGTGGGTTTGTTTGGCCAATCCATCGAGCCTTAACCAAAGGCTCCCTCCTGCCGCTGAATTCGAAGACAGCCCCACCTCTCCGCTGAGCTCATTTCATTCTCTAGAGTATGTTGTCGAAAGCAGTCGCGTTGGTCAGTTTGCTGTTTGATCTGCTCCACTGTGAGTAAATGAAACCTCTTTACTCTTTCTCTTACCAATGCTTCAGAGTGTGTTATTAAGACTGTAAGGGCTGGTTAATGTGATGTTATTCTCCTGTGAGTCCTCCTGCTGCACAGCTAAAGGACTTTAACCAGAAATTCAAAACTCTGCAATATCAGGTGAAGCTCACACTCTAACCACTAGCCCGCACTCCAACAGAGTCAACAAAAAAAGGCTCCTCGTTCAGTTCCTGGCATTTCCAGTTAAAAAGGTCGGGTAGCGAGTGCTCGGAAAACTTCTGTGTCAGTGAACTGCTGTCAGGGGAAGGAACGCTGAATTAGATGGGCAAATAATGGTGTGAAGTACATTCCTAATTGTTCTAATTTAAGAGCCGCATTCAGGGAGGCCCAGATCCGTCAGGTCCCAGATTTCGCAAGCGCACGGCATCACTTTTAATTGGCACCTACAGATGGGGACGGGTGAATCATGCTTGTCGTTTCTCTCGCCCTCCCTGCCTTCCACCACCAACTGTTTTAAAAGGAACGCAGCTTCTTCTCTTTCCGAAGTTAGAAGGCACAGATTTTCACAGCAACGGGGGAAACGCTGGGATGTTGGGAATATGTCTTCCAGCAAACACCAGTATAACCCATTTGCAAGAGATGCTAAAACTAGGTGCCCACAGGGTTAGGCCTGTTTTTAGGCAGTCACTCCTGCGTTCAGGAAAATGAGGATGGATGGATGGATGGATGGATGGATGGATGGATGGATGGATGGATAGATAGATAGATAGATAGAGAGATAGATAGATGGATGGATGGATGGATGGATGGATGGATGGATGGATGGATGGATGGATGGATGGATAGATAGATAGATAGATAGA